TGCTTGCTTGTTTCTCCTTGTGTTTTCATCTCCGTCACTGAGACGGTATAGCTTAAAGGTCACTATTATATCTATGGAATGATCATTATCTTGAACTGGTAAATGAAAAATACAATTTAAAAAAGCACACGCAATTTTTTTTCCAGTTAAATTTTGCATCTTTATTTTTTTCTTTCAAAAACAACATTTTTTTTTACAGTATTTATCTGACATTTGTGGTTACAACTTTTTCTAGTTTTAGGAGTAAATGTCTGCTCTTTTATTTTTAATTGAAAATGAGGACTGTGGAAAAAAAAACAATCACAATCCTGCTTTTTATTAATACATATGAATTTAGCAACTACAACAGATAAAGAAAAACCCTAAATAAATACCAGGACAATAATAATTCTTTCATAAAAGAAACATTGTGGCAATAACTTTATTCACAACATATTTCTGCTCTACGACTGCCATGAAGTTTTTAAAGCTTGGCTTGTCGATCATGCATGCATGCGCACGATGACACGTAGCGTTGCGTCAGTGACGTCAGTGCTACGTGACAGTTTGACAGTCCCTCTGCCGTGTTTTTTTTTTTTTTTTACCTCTGCTGTGTGCGGGTAAGGCGAGCGGCAATCAGTCAAGTTAGTAAAACAAAAAACACTTAAAACATTGTCCACAAGTCAGAAATCACGAGTCTCAGTCGGGTCTGAAGTCCTTCAAATGCAAGTCTAAGTCGAGTCTACATCTCTGGTACTCTTTAACATATTCCTTCACTGCAGGCTCAAACCCGTCATCTGTGATGCCGGTCCTAATTTCAGCGTGCGAGGGCCAGCCCTCAATATATCATACCGGCCCCAAAAATTACTCTCTGGACGAAGCTCCTACCTGTGACAATGAATAACTCAAGGAGATCAAGAAGTAATCCAATGTTAACTACAGAGATGGGAAGTAACAAAGTACAAATACTTCGTTACTGTACTCAAGTAGATTTTTCTGATATTTTTACTTTACTTTACTACTTATTTTT